CACGAGAAACATGAAGAACTTTGCCTACTCGTGTCTTGTTTTGCTGTGTAGCAAATTGTCCTTAACGTTCCAGCGAATAGGTTTATGCTACAAACCTATCAAGGACTTTCCATTTACATCAACAACTTAGATAGATATGATACAAACCACTGTAGAGCAGTACTTGTAATACCTACAGCACGCTCTGATCGTTGATCAGTTAAAAATCACAAATTTGATTTTAAAAAATCTACATTAATTTTGATAATTCATGTATGTTACTTTTCTCAATAATCTTTATAAGAATTCATTTTAAAACTTAAGGTATGAGTGCAGTATGTATTTTACCACAAAATATTGATGAACGAGTGACTCGATGATACCTTAATCAATGCTGGCTACGATGAAGTCATCATGATCAGGATTTTTTCAACTGTTTTTCTATTTTTTGTTACCTGCACACTTCTGTTTAAAACAATGTTAGCCATGGTTCACTGTGACACATCACAATGTAGTATAATGATTAGAAGTGGAAATTTGCAATCAAACCAAAGCCTATAATATTAAACACAAACAGACACACATATTTCCAAGGGTAGAACCTTCTATTATTCTTACCATACTAATAAGCCAATTTCTTTTTAAAGTCTGAAAGGCTGTAAAAGTGGATTGAAAAATGTATGATGGAAAATATTTTTACAATTAAAATGACACAGCAGCATAAATAAATATACTGCTGGAGTCATGAATGACCCTATTCAATGGCTTAAAGGCTAGAAAGGTTCAGTTTTTTACAAGGAACTTTGCGACAATTTCAAAGGACAAAAATATGTAATTTGGTTCTAATTAAAGAGAAAATATAAAGAGAAAATATGCATTTTCTTTCCCATTTAAATATTATTATTTGCTTATTACTAACATTTTGATCCTTCATGTACATTATGTGTTATGTTTTCAGAACATGCTAAATACTGACATATTGCTGCCAGCTTCCAGTTTATTCAAGTAATTAACAGGAATCCACATCATGTATAGTTAATCAGTCTTTTAATTTACTTGCTGAAAAATAAGTCAAAACTAAAGTTATCTATAATAAGCTATATACTATGAGGGTAAATCAATAATAAATTACTTTTTAACCAATTTCATAAACCATCTTAAAAGAAGGTTTGTTCAGTATATGTTTAGTAGGGATTATTGTACCTGTTGTAGTTATTCAGTCATTCTGGTGCTCCTCTTACTTGATGCTGATGACTCAGAATTAGATCCTGATGACTTAAGATTTACTCATCAAATAGTATGACTCAGTGGCAGAGATCAGCTTCACATCCTCTCAGCATTAAGTTTAATGTACATGTTAATGATCTGGCTTTTGTTCTTAAACAGGGAATTTATAAAAGATTAAGAAATAACTACTTTGATCAAAGCTTTTGTACATATGCATGCAAATCAAGAGTAAAGCAAAAAGAGAAGAAAATCATGTGGTTTAACATCTATGTAGACAGATTAAACTTTACCTGTGGACATTCCAAGACACCATCCAGTGAATATAAAGCAGATTTGATCAATATGACAAGGTTGGTGGTGAATCCACAATACATTTAATTCTCAATTTATTTTTCCTTGATCATTTTATTTAAAAAATTAAACAAAAGTCCTTCATATTTTTACAGTTTTCAAATTTTTTAAAGCAATAATATTATTATATTGAAATCCAAAAACTGTTTCCTAGTTGGCTTTTCAGTGAAATCCAAAGTACTGTGATGTGTGGGAAAAATGTAACCCATGAAAGTGAAAAAGAAGGCAACATCTTCATAAACTTAAAGGAGTCTAGTTGCCTTCTTTTAATTTCTTAAAACTACCACTGGATCACTAGAAATTCTACTCATAAAAATCTTGAATCTTAAAAAGAAGGTGACTGGACTACTTTTAGGTTTTTTGAAGACTTTCACCTCACACCTAACAGGCTTCTTGAGGTCTAAACATATCCAACATACCTATGATGAACCATATCAGAGAGAAAGGGCAGCCCTGGCTGAGTCCAACGACCACAAGTTGAGTCTGAGCTATTGGTGGCAATGCAAACCAATCACTATAGTTGTATAGAGTGTGAATAGGCCAAGTATCCCATGCTCCAGAAGGACTTCCCATTAGGGCACTTTGAGGGATGTAGTCAAATACCTTCTCCGTGTACGCCATTATAACGTATTGATTATGTTGTCAGCAGTGGCTGTTTCTTTGCACGTTGAACTCCCACAGGATTTGAGCTATTGTGTTTTGGGGGGTTTTTTTTGCATCCTTGCTGAGTGTTCCATTGGATTTTGGAACTTTTAACCAATGCTTGTAATAGATGTTCCTGTAGACTATCACATAGATTTAACTTAACAGAACATTTAATACAGCTGCCATAAGGCAAGAGGCAGGGTACACCGATGCAGGGATAACACAGAGAGACAGACATCCATCAGCACTCATATTCATTTCTACGGACAATTTAGAATCCACAGTTAACCTAACCCCTCTGACTGCATGTCTCGAGATTGTGGGAGGAAGGCAGACTACCCAATGAGAACCTACACAGACACGGGGAGAACATGCAAACTCCACACAAAAAGGCCCAGATGTTGGATTGAAAACCAAGAATTTCTTTGCTGTGAAGAAACAGTGCTATCCACGGTCCCACCTTGCTGCCCCTTTTCTATCTAAGATTTATACACAGTCACACTCCGATGAACACATAGTGAGCTACTCAGGGTTCAATAACTTGCCTAGTATCTGGAATAGTAGCAGACTGGAGCAGCCAGAGATCAAACCAACAACCTTCCAATTAGTAGATGACCTGTTCTACCACCCTGTAAATATGATGGTTGATTTGAACCCAGGACCTTCTTATTGTGAGCCAAAAGAGCTAACCACTGCACCATGGTGCTATCCCATTTGTGATTCAAAGCACAGTAAAAAAGCTTTAAAACTATTTAAAACTAAAAAATTATTTGGGAATTTTCCTTTCCATTTCAAGTTATGAAATGTATCTACACAAAGGTCTGTTCACATGAAGTCAAAAGAACCACACATGTATAATTCTATGGTGTCGTGATTTCTGGCATCCTCTGAAGGACGAATTAGGCCACAGTCACCAACTGACCTTTGCAGCCTGAAGACAGAGAGATGTCTGGACATAACACTACACATTTTCAGGGTGGGGTTTCACGAGACCAGTCAAGCTAAAGGCAAAAGGAAAGCAAGACAAAGGGTTAAGGAAGTTCGGTTTAGCTTCGAAATAAAGCTCTGTAAACAAGTGAACGGGACATGATTCGTGAGCATTCATCGAGATATTTACACATTGGGACGTTTTAAACATTTCATTATTTAAGATTTTGAATATTTTTGTTGTATGCTCACATAGTGTATATTTCTACAAAAGTATACATTTAATTCAGCTACCAGAAACCTTTAGTAAAAACTAAAGGTACATAACTTACAACTAAAGGTGTATATTTAATACTGAACAGTGTTTTATAGTGAAAGTCCTGACAGGAAATGACGTTAGTATCTCGGGCTCTCGCGCTCTCTCTCTCCAGCTCTTTCCCGGCAGATCAGGAGACTTCGGCTCCGCTCGGAGAAACAGCACAGGACTTTATGGTGGAAAACCGTTTCATAGTTTTACCTTTTTCTAGGGACCGGCTGTATGATTAAGCTACAATCTTCAATGAGTAAGCATATCCCAGTAAGTAACCTGTTTTTCGTGGCTGCCATTTTGTTTCTCGGTTTCGTCTCCTAGGCTCCTCTTGTAAATCAGTACGTTACGGTGAACTGTTACCAGCTGGCCTTCACGTTGCTTCGATGAAATCACGGCCTGCTCGATAAAAACCTAGTTCAATATTTCCACAGTGCTATTGCCTAACGTTGACTTTCTCATTTAACTGTAACGAAAATTCACAGAACATGGATTTGGCCGTGTTATTTGAGTGCAATCTTAGAGCTGCCTGATGATCGTCACGATTAGGAAGCGGCTGACGGATGCGCAGCTCGGGCTGGTCCCGGCTCTTCACTCGGAGTTTTTGCCGTCTAAAATCGACGCATATTTATTTGAAATAAACGAAACATGTAAATGACGTGTTGTTAGTGGTTTGCGAGACTGGCTACCTGCCCGGTGTCTGTGTCGGGCGTCTTTTTGTCACCTCAGAGCAACGTGCAGTCAGTCACAGCTCCCGACGGCGCCTATAGGCCTCTAATGTTATATGATGGCGCCCGGTCGATCCTCACACAAAGGACACTTTACAGCCTTGTAATGCAATGCAGAGGCATGTCTGCTATTTAAGCCACTTCTGCTTTGCTTCACGTCTCTCTTATATTTACAAATCACTGTCCTTTTAATCAGGCAGTGGCTTTTAAGTGCTTGGTAATATTTCTAAGTAAATGCTCCTTTTCGGCCGGAAAACAGCAGATTAACAAAGCATGCTTGACCGGCTTAGATTTTACTATTTCTACAATAAGCTGAAGAAAACCTTTCCAGTAAGCCAGCGCTCAGGTATCGAGCTTCTGTGAGGAGTAAAGGGCAGAAGCATTAGGGAGGAAATGGCAGAGAAAGCATTTGTGAGTCAGATTTCTGACGATCATAACAGCGTGTATGTTAAAGCCCCGCTGAAGGCCCCACGGAGAGCTCAGCCTTCGCACACAGACACGACCTGGATGTCAGAAATGACACGTTATGTATTTATTTCTGCTGTACAGCGGCAGCACTGCACTGATTTTATGTACTGGCAGGTACAGTCTGCTCTGCTGTGTTAATCATCGTGTTATCTGAAACACCACTTTCTCTGCACGGGAATCAAACCCCAGACACTCCCGTGTCTTTAGTCTCCAAACAATGTTAATGTGGCTGCTGACATACTTGAGTGTGAAACTTGGCATAATTAAAAAGAGTAGCTCAGAAAGGCTGCGGTTTAACTATTTCAGGGTAGCTAATGTAAAGAAAATTACACTGTGGGATTCGATTACTGTCATTACACCATAAATCTGTGTTTCTAGCCAGACTCTGTGCTGTTGTCTGAAGGTAATTCTAAAATTCAAATGAGGAAATTTGTTTTATTCTTTTAAAAATAAATGGATCACGACTTTACTGAAAATCTCTCACTTGTTTCACGGCTGCTTTGTCTATACTTTGGCCCTGTGCTTCCCTATGATATAATCCCTTTGTCTTTTACTCTGATGGAGTGGTATGTTTGACTAGGGGCTTATGGATATGTGTTGGGGATTAGAGTTGTCACAATATCAGGTTTTCCATTTCATGATTATTGTGCCTTAGGAAAAAAGAAAAGAGGCACAGTTTCCATATAGAATGTGAATAAAAACTGTTTCCCAGTAAAAGTTTGTCTTTTTGGCAAATTAATTGAACTACACTGCGAACGGTTGCCTGTGCTTTTTGTGTTCTTTAAAGGTGTTTTTAAAAAAATAAAAATTAAGCTTTTCTTCCCTCCTGCCCCCCCTCTGTGTCCTGCAGCAGTTCTGTGGTGTTCTGGGTCACACATTTATGGAGTTTCTGAAGGGCAGTGGGGACTACTGCCAGGCTCAGCACGCTGCCTATGCAGACGAGTGAACAGCCAAACTCGCCATCGATCCGACGCACTTGAGCCACAGGAGGGACCCCGGAAAGTTGGCAGGACCGGGACTCCTCCCAGAACCAGCGATAACTCGGCCTGGATGGGGTAACTCCACCTGCTGCACACTGCCCTCGTCGGCTTCCGCCTGGCCAGAATCAAGGTGGAACCAGCCTTGGTTTTTTTTTTCTTCCTTTTCTTTTGTTTTATTCCAAAGGAGAGGGTTTGAGTTACTTCTCCAATTGTCCGCCCTTCCCGGCTGCCAACTTCCCAAATTTGCCTGTTACTGTTCTTTTTGGGGGGGTTGTTTTTATTTTGTTTTGACACTTAGCCTTGCCAACCTCGAAGAAGACTGGAGGATTTTTTTCTTTCGGAGTTCCTCAAAACTTGTTGGACATTTGTTTGACATTCCCTCCGAGTTTAACTGTTTACATTAGTGTTTACTCTGTGGAAGACATTTTAGTTTTGTTATACATTTTTTTTTCTCGCATTGTCACGATGGCTCGAATGAACAGACCAGCCCCTGTGGAGATTACCTACAAAAACATGCGGTTCCTCATTACCCACAATCCCACCAACGCCACCCTGAACAAGTTCATAGAGGTGAGCCAAATTGTGGTCAAGTGTTTACATATTACAGAGTGTATATTACTCGAAGCACGTAACCGGTGATTACATGTCGAGAAATATTTTGGAAACGACCACAGTTTAAAATCTTTCCTGAAAATGTTTCAGCCAATGAAAGCAATGACTACAGAATCGTTTTAGATTACAGGAATTGACGTATCTAGGTGTATTACTGTCAGTGTGCTTTAGAGGGTTGGGCAATCGGACAAAATTGGTGACTAAAATCAATTGATTCCTTTAACAGTTGGCTTTTTTCCCCTTCCTTTTAAAGGGAAATACACACAAGAACAGATTAGCCACTTATGTCAACCAAAGGCAGTGGGGATGTCACTAAAATAGTCATAGTCGAAGCTATCTAGCTTAACTTATCAACTCTGTAGTCAAGCGAATGATCTAAAAACTGATGATATGAAGAATATCACTGACATGAGCTAGTGTTTGCATACATCAGCAACTTCACTTCTTTTTGTTGGAATTTTAACGTGTCGTCCAACCTTAGTATCCCGAGGTAGCTTTAACAGTCTTGTTTGCCTCTTTCGCTCATAAATCCTGTGACATGTGATTACAGGAGTTGAAAAAATATGGAGTCACCACAGTTGTGAGAGTTTGTGAGGCCACCTATGATGCCACCCTGGTGGTGAAAGAGGGAATCCAGGTTCTGGTGAGTTCACGCTTCTGACTTCATCATGACTCCTAATGTTTCAAATTAAAACAAATGTGTTTTTTTTTTCATTGCTCTGGGTTTTTTCCCCCAGTATACCAGGCTATTGTTTTATTTTTTTATTCTGGTTTTTATTGTGTAACAGATTTAGGTTTGGGGGGGGGGGGTTCCCTCCAAGTGAAGGTTCAGATTGTGCAGGAAGACAAGCTCCGCAGGTGTCCTTGCTGCTGCAACAACATTTTTCTTTCCCCACAGCTCAGCCTTCTCACTTCTTTTGTTTTGGTTTCCAAGGAACGGAGGCCACTGACATCATTTCCTTTTTTCTTCTCTCTTCTTTCTGCAGGATTGGCCGTTCGACGATGGAGCTCCTCCCTCCAATCAGATCGTGGATGATTGGCTGAACCTGCTGAAGCTGAAGTTCAGGGAGGAGCCCGGCTGCTGCATCGCTGTGCACTGTGTAGCAGGGCTGGGGAGGTAAGCAGTCACTGACACAAAGATTCAAGTTGTTATATTTTACGTATGATATCTGTTAGTGAAATGTGGCTCTTGCTTCTGTTTGTATTCTGATACAGAAGCAGTCGGTGCCAAAACAGTTATTTGATGATCCCTATTTTCTCATTGTTTTTATATTGTACATAAGCTTTTATTTTAGGGGATTTTCTCTAACAAAACAGTTTGAATCCATTAAATAATGTTTCCCCCATTATCTGACTTTTAAATGATTAATCCACCAATCCAAAGGATAACTGCGGAACTACAACCTGAGCTATCATAGTGAAAACTATCATATAGGAATAACATCCCTGTTATCAGTTGTGGTTTGAAAAACAAACCAAGAAGATCTTAAGCAGAGACGCAGTCATTTGCATTTTCTTTGATCCTGCTGTACATGACTCACAGTTTCACCCACATTTTGTCCCAAGCGTGTGCTTCCTCAGTACAGACAACCTGCCAGGTCCTGTCTCTGTCCTGTTTGCTCTAATCTGATCTATGAGGAAGCCATGTTTGTTTGTTTTGTTTTTGTAATTGGAGCAAAACACTATTTTGCATGTTAGTTTTAACTAACATTCCTGGTACCGTCTGTTCCCTTTCTTTTTCACAGAGCTCCTGTTCTGGTGGCACTCGCTTTGATTGAATGTGGGATGAAGTATGAAGATGCTGTCCAGTTCATTCGACAGTAAGTAAAAATCATTTGGCAGGAAATGATTAAAGAAGCTACTTTTTTTTTTGATGAGTTGAGGTTTTTTATTATAAAACCATTAAAATATCTGATAGTTCATTACGTTTGTAAGGCTCTCTGGTGGACAGACTTTGGCATTAACTTTGAGAAAATCCTTGATTTTTGTCTTGCAGTAACCTGATACTTTGATACGTAAAGCAGGGAGGCCTGAGTCATATCTATAAATAGCAGAGATGTCAGAGAGTGAGATAAGGATGATTCAGTAGGTGTGCTTTAAAGTATGTGTCATCACTTGAAATATTTATAGAGCACTTGGCAGTCAGCTTTTTCTTTTTTTTCCAAAGAGTAATCAATAAAATGAGGGAAAGCTCAGCAATTTGAGGCTGTAATTGAAAATGTTTACATATTATTAATATGGATAAAATCCTCTTTTTTTCTTTTTAAATCAACGGTTAATAATAGGACTTTAATTTTTTTTAAAGTTTATTTTAAAATCCTCAACAAGCCAAAGAATCGTTATCATGCTGAATGTAAAAATCATACATTTTGCCATAAATCTTCATATAGAACAGAGTTAGTTGACTATTTCTGTAAATGTAATAGTACTGGGCAGCCACTTTGCTCTTTTCCAACCCAGCATTTATATTCTTGCACTCTATCACAGTACCTTGTTATTCAGAGTATTGGTCCTTAATACAGCATTTTAATTCCTTTCCTTTTCCCTTTAACCAATCATCTGATTGGTTGCCCCTCACACACAGAAGGTTAGAACAGTTAGTGGGTGGAGCTTCTTTGCTTACAGTCACAGATCTGTGGCTGAGCTTTCCTCTCTAACATCAGAAAAGCCATCATAGAAAAGCCTGTAAGTAGGGTTCACAAAAGCTGAGCGTTTGACTCACAGGGGTTAGACTGCTTATATGCACACTGACATGAATTATTTAAACTTTGGGCATGTTTAATATATTACAATATCCATGGTAGCAATATATATTATGGATTTACAAATTTCTACACTTGCTTTCAGGAAGCGCAGAGGAGCATTCAACAGCAAGCAGCTGATCTACCTGGAGAAATATCGTCCAAAGATGCGCCTGCGTTTCAAAGATTCTAACGGCCATCGCAATAACTGCTGCATCCAATAGAGCCAAACATTGAGCCACGCCAACCCCTCCCCAACCTACCCTCCAACACAGAAGAGTTTAATTAAACCTTGCTAGCTTATAACCTGGCAGGCTTCCTTTTTTTTCTTTCTTTCTTTTTGTTTTTCTTCATTGTGTTGAAGTATTTTAATTTGGAAAACCATGCTTGGTAAATGAAATTTCCCCCTCCCCTTCTAGTTTCAAAATTAAATGTCAAAAAAAATGAAAAACAAGAGTTGTGTGAACAGAGTTTTTTCTTCATGTGCCCAGAAAAAAAAATAGGAAGAGTCGTGTATCATTGTAAGATGTTGGATTAACTGTTTTCTGCAAATGCATCCCAAAGATTTGGATTGGCCCGTGCATTCACATTGCCTGAAAATGTGTTCAAAAAAAAAAAAAGAAAAGTAAATAGGAAAAAGAAATGTTTTCTTGATGTGAACAATTATGTGTACCCTGTTCAATTTTAGGATTCAGTTTCAAGACTGACTAGAAAGAGGTATGCCTTTCTTCAAATCAGATGGATCATCCATAAATGCCTTACAATCGGAAGTGGAACAAAGGCAATCGAGCGGGAGTCGGCTCCTGTTGGCATTTGGAAAAGGTGTTTCATTTTTCTACTTGGAACAAAAAAAAAACCCTAAACTGTTGCCTTTGTCTTGTGCAGGAAGTCTTACACACACTTATGCCCTTTCAGTAACTATTTTTTATTATAAATGCTTAACTGTTGCAATATTTGTCAATTGAAAGTCTAGGAACTTTTTAGTCTTTATCAGACCTTCTGTTTACTTATTAACTGCCATGTTAAAATAAAAATGTGATCTTTTTCATTTTTCCTTTTTTTTTTCTTTTGGTTTATTTTTGTTTAGTTTTGTTTGTGTGTGTGTGTGCGCTTCAAACTGGACTTCCAACATCTGCAATATTTTGTATGCCTTTTTATTTGATGTCCATAACTTAAGACTTGGATACTTGATGATTTTATGTATTTGAAAATGTGTACTATTATTATTAGGTTGGCTATTTATACTATCAATGGATGTGTGATTTAGTACAGTGAGCAAAAAAGTTTTACCTGTTCACCAACTTGTGAGAGTACATTAAATGATACACTGAAAAAAAGATGTTGGTCTTTTTTTCCCCATTTTCTCAAGAGAAGAAAAATGCAGGAGGGGTTTGAGCAAAATAGGACTGATAAATACTTCTTAACCCTTTAAGACCTACCATAGAACCAAGTCCGCCAGAGCTTATATTATATTTTTACATGCTGTAGTGCCATTTTTGGGAGCATTTCAAGTTGCTATACATCAAAACAACCATTATAGCCCAGATTTTAATAATATGTCTGCATTAAGTGCATAGTAATTACATAAATTGCAAAAAAGTGCAATAAACTACAAAAAAATTGAAACTCGTTTTTGCTTTTTTAACATATATTTCTAGTTAGAGAAATTTAAGAGGCTTATCCCTCAAAGCTGTAAATACAAAGAAGTTGCACAAAATAGTTTCCCACCACAGGAAATTTATTTTGAGTGTCTTCATAGTTTTATTTTTGAAATACACCAATTTTTATATACTGCAGGAAAAACGAAAATAAATATTATAGTGCAAATTTGCAAAAAAGCAGCATATGCATCAAAATAAACTATTTCCAGCAGTGCAATATGAGTCCTAAGCATCCCAGAAATGACACAGAAAGTCATAAAGTCAAACATAACTTTTAAAAACACCAGTATAAGCTCATGAGGCCCTAATGGTAAAAAAAAAAAAACTACATTTCCGCGAAAATGACGTCACTTCCGGTTTCAGACAGGTAATGGCGGACATGGAAAAGTTCGCGCTGACTATTCCAACATAGGAAGTGTTATGAACAGCTGATCGGATCGGCAAAGACCTCATGTCCAATCAACTGAATTTACCACAGGTGGATTCCAGTCAAGTTGTAGAAACATCTGCCAAAGATCCGTGGAAACTATTTACACTGGCCACTTTGTTAATTATACCTTGCTGCAAGCGCTTTCTATGCAGTTGGAGGAAACTGTGACCTAGAACAAGCTGATGGCATAAGATGTAAGTACAACTCCTCCGGTTTCATATGCAAAAAAATTTATTGCGCTAGCTTACGTGGTTGCAGAGCTACCGGGATTTAAAAATAGTTACGCAAAACAGAGCGTGCCGCTCTGACCGGCTTTAAAGGGTTAATAAAAAAATGTTGCAGATGTAGCGCTAAAAGACTTTATTGAAAAAGGCATGGTATTTAGCTGTTTGTTTGAATAGCGGCTCTTTCTCAAACCTTTCATCGTAAAACATCTGCATTTTTAGCATTTACATCACCAATAGTCCAGTAAACCAGTTTACATTTTAATCATTGCAAAGACTCAAATTTAGCTAATTTGTAGCCCAATAGGAGTTGACAGTTACATTTGTTTCAGTTTCTATAGTCTCTGAAATAAAATATTCAGTCCCATGATTAATTCAACGCCCTGCTAGGGCCGTAACACTGGGTGACTGGCTCCAAGATGAGTCCTGTTGGTTCAAACTTCTTCCATTTACTGACGATGGAGGCCATCGTGCTCATTTGGACCTTCAGTGCTTCAGGAATTTTTCGGTATCCTCCAAATATCTGAACCACAATGCAATCCTTACCTGCCCTAATTCTGACACAGGTCAAACAAGATGCTGAAAACATTCAGCGGAAACTTTGATTCATATTGGTGTGATGAACATCTTTATATTATAGAGTCTTCAAAATAGCCACCTTTTGCTTTGATTACTGCTTTGCACACTCTTGACGTTCTCTCGATGAGCTTCATGAGGTCGTCACCTGAAATGGTTTTCCAACAGTCTTGAAGGAGTTCCCAGAGATGCTGAGCACTTGTTGGCCCTTTCGCCTTCACTCTGCGTCCATTTCTTCCAAAATCGTCTGGATTGGGTTTGGGTCAGGTGACTGTGGAGACCAGGCCATCTGACGCAGCGCCACCATCACTCTCCTTCTCCCTTCCTTACACAGCCTGGAGGTGTGTTTGGGGTCATTGTGCTGATGAAAAATAAATGATGGTCAAACTAAACACAAACAGGATTGGATGGGATGTCGCTGCAGGATGTTGTGGTAGCCATGCTGGTTCAGTGTGCCTTCAGTTTGAATAAATCCCCAACAGTGTCACCATCACACC